GGGGCAAGGGGCGAGGGGCGAAGGGCGAGGGGCGAAGGGCGAAGGGCGAAGGGCGAAGAGCGCACCTTTGCGGGGCCTAGGGGGCAGCCGCTCTGGTTGCAGACTCGCTTCTCCTGCTCCAGGCAGTTGACGCTCTGCCCGTTGGCCGTCACCACCACCTCCCCGTTGGGCGCCAAGCGCTTCCAGTCCACAGTGCTGGCGAAGCACAGGTTGTCGTTCTTCTCCACCTGCGCACCAAGCACACATTGTCCTCGACTCTAAACACCCTAACGCCCGGACCTTGGTCAAATAATACTTTCGCCCTTAGCACAAAAGTTGACACTGATAAGTTGACCTCCATACTTTGCACGCCACGTGGTTTTTAGTACAGATCCACCCGCTGAAATCTCGCAATTGATACCCCACCCGCTCTCCCAGTATCGACACCTATCACCGCACCTGCCAGAATCGACACATTAACCTCTTTTCCCAATATCGATCCACTAACCCCTTTGCCCAATATCAACACACTATCTCCACTCTCACATTCGTTGTATTGGTAATGAAAGTTCCCTAATATTTCAGCAACCACAGCATCTGATATTCAAGTCATTACATCACATGAGATATGACATGACGTACAACACGACACTATACAAGTCAACACGCAGCAACACACAACCCAACACGGCCAAATATTCAACACAACACAACTTACGGCACAAAACAACTGACATCTCAACATACTACCACATTACACTGCATGACGGAAACACAATACCACATAACACAACATTACGGAACACAACACACATGACACACGAAACACGTACCACAATACATTACTCAAACCAAACAGCACACTTCACACAATACATTACTCAAAGCAGCACACGTCACACAACACAACACATGGCACACATCACACAACATACACTACACACAACATGTCAACACGTCACACATCAGATTACACAAAACACAATGCACACGACACACAATACAGTACATAAAACACGCAGTACAAGTGACACATTCCACTACACAAAACACAGCAAGCGACACGCAACACATCACACACACTGCACAAGCAACACGTGACACATCACATTACACAAAACACACAGCACACGCCACCAAAACACAGCGCCCGTCACACAAGACATCACACATATCATGCACATATCATGAAACAACACGTCACACATCACATTACACAAACACACAACACACTACATACAATACAGTAAACAAAACACGCAGTACACTTGACACATCACATTGCACAAAACACAGCACACGCCACCAAAACACAGCAAGCGTCACACAACACATCACACACACTGCACAAGCAACAACACGTGACACATCACATTACACAAAACACAGCACACGACACCAAAATACAACACGCGTCACACAAGACATCACACACACAGCACATATCATGAAACAACACGTCACACATTACACAAACACACAGCACACGACACACAACACATTACACAAAACTCACAGCACACGACACCAAAATACAACACGCATCCCACAACAAATCACACACACTGCACATGCAACAACACGTCACACATCACATTACACAAAACACACAGCACACGACACCAAAACACAACACGCGTCCCACAACACACCAAAAACACTGCAGACAACATAAAACAACATCTCACGACACGCTACACGAAACGCCGTGATCGTGTCTCACCCTGACGCCGCCGCGCTCGATGAGGGCGAGCGAGCGCAGGCCGAGGTCGCGCAGCGCGAACAGCTCGAAGACGACGAGGGCGTAGTCGCGGAAGAGCGCGGCGCCGCGGATGACGGTGAGGTTGGGGAAGAGCGCGCCCAGCGAGCGCAGCCCGGCCACGCGGAACAGCAGCAGGTAGCGCGTGATCTCGCGCAGGCGCGGGAACGACAGCGCCTCGAAGTCCGCCTCCGACGTGTTGTCCAGCAGCACGATCTGCACGAAGCCCTCCACGACGCGGCAGCCCGACAGCAGCCGGAACGCCTGCCGCACGAACGCAACACGCTCTCGTTGGTCGGGGTGACGTTTCCGGGGCAGCAGTTGGCGCGCCCGGAAACCAATCAATCCATCAACCAATCAATCAATAAATCAATCGACCAATCAATCAACCAATCAATCAATCGATCAATCAACCGACCAATCAATCAATCAATCAAAGCGTGTCGTGCGTCGCACTACACGCTTTCATTGATTTGCGTTTCCGGGCGCGTCATCTGCTCAGATCATTAGTCCCGTAAGTGTAGGGCGTGCTTTATAGAGGTGGCGGTGAACTTCCCTCGCTGGTTGGCGAGATCCGGTGCCAACCTACGTCGACTTGCGGAGTTTTTTCGCCAACCAGGCTTCTCCCACCGGTGTGCACTGCCCCACACAGGACGTGGTCTACGCTCCTGACATGTATGGTAGTGTAGTGCATGTATGTGTAAGTGAGTGTGTGTGTGTAAGTAAGAGATGACGAGAGAACAAGGAAGGAGAAAGAAAGTTCGCGCGCCGCCCGTGGATCGTTTGTTAGGATACTGCTCCGGCTTTGCTCGTTAGAAGCAGCCGACCACTATCTTTTATGCACAAGTAACACAATATTTTATACATTATAACAGACATTAAAAACAATACTGTGTAAAGAACACTTTAAATTATTTCGACAAAACAAATTAATTAGAGAATTCGTTTTACAAGAGGGGAAGAGGTCTGGCAAACCTGTTAGTAGCTCAATGTAAAATCATTTGTATTTATTAATTTTAATTATTTACGTTATAATTTAATTATATTTGTGGTTTATTTTATTTTTCTACTTGTAAAATGGCGTGAGTAAATATAAAAAATGTTCAATGGAAATGGCAGACCTGAAATATACTTGCCCCTTCGTGTTTTCGGCTGCACACGTCTACGAGCAAATCTCACAATAATAGTAATTAGTGGCCTGCTTCAGTAAAGATGTGTTTTAAAGGTACCACATTTAAAACCTTTCACACTCCAGAAAAGGCCGTTCAAGTTCGTACATTACCGTATTTTAAATTAAACTGGTGTCCTGCAGCACCAAAATCGCGGCTGAACATAATCACACAACACGTTTTCAAAAAAGTAGCACCCATATTCATCAAAAACAAATACAACACTCGTACAACACCACAATAAATCAAAAGTTTAAACAAAAACAGTCGTCACGAATACTGCAAATATGTAGTAAAGTACATTTATATAACACAACACTTATTTACATACCAAGAACATAAAGTTGCAGTTCACCAACGCAACATGTTAATAGCCAATATTTAATAGAAGTAGCCTCTTCCTGTGAAGCTTGCATTCGCATGATGTCACCTGTGTTGTAAGCAGTGCCAAACTGAGTTTGAAAATTCAGTCGGTACACGTAATAGGTGAATAGAATATGTAGTAGAATGAACAAGCACATATATAGGATTAGGTCTGCGGCGAGTTCCGAAAGGTTAGTCGAAGACAGGAGCGGATCCAGATAAAATTCTGGGAGGGGATATTAAAAATGTTTTAGTCGAATGTGTCATTTCTGATTTTGCAAAATGTCACATACTACTCTCAACACAGGCTGCGATACGATTTTAGTCGTTTTATTGATTCACCGAAAATATTTTTGGTTGAAAGTTTCGTGACAAGTTAAAATTAATAAGGGGGGATTTTCTACAGTCTGACCACTGCTGGCAACGTAACTCGAAGTTCTGCCCCCCGCGCTCGTCAAAAATATCAACGCCCCTCCTTCGTTCTTTTAGAGTAGATTCTCTCGTACTTGGACTCTACACTTCGTCGCGCGAGCTCACCGCCCAATAGAAGTATGGTGCACAAGGAACAATTATTGAAATTAGGTCGTGTCGGGCTATTTTTGCTTCTTTAACCGTACACAGAAGGCGCTCATAGTCGCCTGATATTTGTCTTTATTTACTGTGTCTCAAACGGTACAAAACAATTTTCATTTACAGGTTAAACCAATTGTTTCACACGTATAAACGTTTAAGTTGAACGAACAAGTATCATGTAAAAAATTACAAAATAATGTATTTCGTTCCTGAGTTTTGTCAGCAGGAGCGCTAATTGTATCCGACCAGTTAAAACCGAACAGGTAAAGCTAACATGTATCCTGAATGTATGCATGCATCCACTTAGGGGTCGAAATTGTATTCTGTTTCCAGTTCATTTTATTTGGTTACGTCAAGGTGACACACTGCGTCAGTTTTTTCCCGTCTGCATCCGCAGTGGTCCATTCCCGGACAGCTGAGTCTTCCACAGTAACCCCGAAGATCTTTCGATTTAAAACCAGAGGAGAGATAAGACCTTAGCCCCTTCAGACTCCTCCCCCACCCCTTCCAGCTAGAAGCCTTTTCCCTCCCCTGTCCTTCCCAGGTACAAAGCCATTCATTCTCACGCCTCCACCAAGGACACGGACAGGACGAACACACTTATCATATTTTCCTTTTGACGGAATTTACATGTGAATAAAAGCAACCATTCAGTGTTTGTGTATATCTTATTTTAAGCAATGGAGTGAGTATTTGGCGTTATCATGCGCATCAACCAATGTAGACGTTAGTCCCGTTCGTGTGTGTGGGTACAGTATTCTGATATAACATTTTTTAATATATTAATTACAATATTTTTCTTAGATATATACAAAGCGAATTTTGAACAATTCAACATCTAAAACAATCAATGCCGAATAGTTCTTAATTGATTTAACGCAATGTAAGGAAAGATCTTGAATAGTGTTAATCAGCAGCTGTCACCTCGTGATGTCTCAAATAGGAAAGCAGTTTAAGGACTCAGCAAGAAATAAATCCAAAATTGACATCATTTCGCAATTAGAACCTAATACCATTACACAAAAGAATAATTATCCCATTTCGAAATTACGAAAATTTACTCAAAATAAGTTCAATGAATACTTCATACGTTTAATATTTCCAGCAAATTCCAGGTGTGTACAATATAATCGGACCTCTATACATTGAAATTCTGAATAACTCGAATTATTTTTCTGTCCGTTGAGAATTCCATTTAAAACGTTTTCTATACATCGATTGAAGGGTAGAGATTCCCGTGAGTCCCGTAAGTGTAGGGCATGTTTTTGCTCGGGAGGTGGCGGTGTATTCCCCACCATGTCCAAACCAAACGCTGATTTATCATGCGTTCTAGCATTACACTTACGCAGCTGGTGGGAAATACAACTTTTGTTGCTCGATTGCAAAGATCTATCTTTTCCTTTCTTCAGAGCTGTGACGACGATGGCCTTCTAGGTAGGCATGCGTGATGTACTCCTCCGGGAAGGACACCCCAGCATCTCGTATCTTCTGATTTTCCTTCCCTTCAGAGTGTCCGGGCACGTGCTTGAGTTGGCCGCGTGATCTCCTTCGCAGTTAACGTAGTGCGGTGGTGGACCGCACTGCTTCAGACATTGATTTGCTGCACTTCCCGCACACCTGGCTTTCTACCTTACATATTTTTGCATGTGGCCAAACTTTCGGCATTTAAAACAGCGCCTAGCAATGGGTAAATACTTCCGCACGATACAGTGTACGTGAACGGAACAAGCATTTGTCTATTTTGAAGATTTTAAGTAGTTTGTAACAATATTTCATATAGGTTGTAGGGAATTAGAGACCACAAGGTCATATCACATCCGCAGGTCGCCTTGTAACCCTTGGATCGATTAAGAAGAGGCTCTGCTAGCCGATGCATGAATGGTTAGTCTTTAGTTACAGAGGAGACGATACGAAATAAGACGAACGAGCACGTATGTCTCATTTATTCTGCTCGATTCACATTCATTATTTGTACTTGTCATTAGAACCAAACGGCAGTCACGGCTCGATTTAAAACTGCCATGTTCGGTTTTTACAACACTATAATTTACAACGCAAAATCTTCCTACATCCGTACCCTCAACTTCAAAATGTGCATCGAACACTCATACGTGCACGTTATAAATTCCCCGGGCTCCAGCATTTTCTGAAGGAAACCAATTACGGCATACGTATCAACGTAAAACGTGCTTTTTATCACGTCCTATCTGAACTTGTTCAACCACAAAAAAATGTACAAAAATTCGCATTCTTTTCTGCGGACGTAACACGCCCACGCTCTTCGCGGAATGCACTTCTTTTGTATCTAATCTTCGACGCCCTGTTCCCCGACGCCCGCGCCTCAGGCTATCGCCTCGTTGGCGTAATGACAGAGCGCACTGCACGCTCGCGATCGCCCGTCCTGCTTGTTGTTCGCTGCGCTTCAAAAGTCGTGTGGCGACTCGAACTTAGTGCAGGGGATGCCGAAAAAGACACGCCGATGAATAATGCGCGATTGTTCATGACCGTCCCTCATGTTTGCAAATCGACGCGTCTCTATAAGATTCTGATTTCCGGTCTGACCAAGATATCGCTCATAAATGAGATAACCTTCTTAGCAGTTTATACTTAAAAGCAATGAACGTTGGGAAGCGCAAAGACGTCAAGGAGTTGGACCATTCTCACTATAGTTCAGATTGGGCACACAGTGACGCCTATCTCTAATCCACACTGAAGAAAATACTTCGGGAAAGAAAATTTTCGGACAAGTGTGAAGTGAAAGACGCAGTTTAGACCATTTTGCGAAAAAAAAATAGGTGTACTTTTTCAAAGGCCTAGGAATGTTAGTATGCAGATGTGAAGGGTGGGTTGTAGTAAAAGATGATTAGGTTGGAAAGTTTCGTGATGTTAAAAATAATAGTGATGCCTATAAATTTATGGAACGTACCACGTAAATTGCAACTGACAATCTACAATATTGCCGTGAATGGTCTGGAAATTGTCGTGATAAAATGACGAGTCTCAAAACTTTTTGATTGATTGATTAGGGCGCGTCAACTGCTACAGTCATTAGTCCCCTAAGTGAAGTGTATGTGTTTTCTTCGTGAGGTGGCGGCGATTGTTGGCCCCGCTGAACGTTGAGATCCGGCGCCTACCTACCGACCGCTAAAGGAGTTTCCC